CTGTGTGCAAGTTTTTGGTGTTGGCTGTTTTTGGTGTTTAACAAAACATGAGCCCCTGTTTCCCCCTGATACAACTGCAGTAGATCCTAATGGGGGTTACAGCAGCAGAGTTACATTCACTGCAGATTACCCAGCTCCTCCCACGCATTAAACCCACCTACCTGCGTCTTCATAGTCCCCACAACCCCACCCTGTCGTACCCATTACACCTAGACAGGAGGGTGCTTCTGGGACAGGTACGTACTGAACATGAAAAATTCACAAGAAATGAAAGAAATCAAAGTCTAAAAATACATCCACAAAATAATATTTTAAACAATTTAGTATAAACTTTAATGAAACTGGCAGAACATCTCCAGTACTGATCCACAGTACGTCCATCATTTATTCATATTATCTAAGAAAAGTTCTGCATCCAATTCTGCCACCTTTGCTTTCACTGGTGGATGTTACCATTTACTTTACAGCATTGAATGGCCATTTTAACTTTAATTCATTTCTAGAGGACTTCACAAATTCAGTTCTAGCTAGTTAGAATGCCAGGTCCTGATATTGGAAATTCTATTTTAGTAATCTATCAGGAATTGAATTGTAACTAGTTATAATGCAATTTTAACTAGCTAAAATAACAACTTCTGATATCAGGAACTCAACTGTAACTAGTTTAATTAAAACTGAATTATAACTAGTAACAATTTAATTCCCAGTATGAAGAATTTGATTTTCGGCTAGCTCATCTACTTAAAATTGTATTTCTGATATCAATAATTGGCTTTTTGACTAGTTCAAATGAATTCCTGATAGACCTATCAGAAATTTGTATTTTAACTAGCTGAAACTGAATTACAACTATTTACAACTGAATTCATAACAGAAATCTGCATTTTAACTAGTTCAAATTCCAAGTCACCTTAAAATAATTGGAATTGAAATTATAACTGGTTAAATTTAATTTCTGATATCGATATAATGCATTTTATCTAGCTCGAGTCGAATTTCTGATATCAGAACTGTACATTATAACTAATTACAACTGAATTTCTGCTATGAAGAATTTGCATTCTGACTAGTTTTGAAGTGAATTAGTGAATTAGAAGTGTCTGGTTTATCTAATTTATCTAATCACATAATCTGTGCATGGTTTGTCGATTTATTTGTTGTTCACTAATAGCGAAAGAACAGGGGAGGAAAGTCAAAATGCTCCATGGCTGATGTCCTGCATAATTCGATAAGCACGTCACCCTCCAAACACGGAAAAAATGCAGACGCACGAAGCACCACTATACCCTCATTGCTTTTGTGCCAGAGACGACAGCAAAGCAGCATCTAAATGGACACGCTGCGTGCCGCTGTCAGAAAAAGCAGCGCGGTGAAGTGGCTCCCCCTGCTGCTCTGTGAGCAGCGCTACAGGACTAGCAGCCAAATCGCGTTCTGTGTCAGATGCGATTTGGTCAAGTGGCCTTTATTGTCATACATACAAACAAACAAACAGCAATTGACAAATGGAGGGTTTCACAGTACTTAACGTGCAAAACACAGAACAGTGCGAGGGGGGCTGTTAAAATACAAAGTGCAACCGGTGTGTAAACAATAAATACAGCAGCATAAAATGCTGGAATAAATTTAGAAGAAATTATTAAATAGATAAATGATAAATTAAAGTGACACAAGCACAGGGGGGTGAGTGTTGACAGGAATGGGTGTGCAGTAAGATGGATATCCTGACAGCCGATTGCTGAACCTAGCAGACCTGGCTCAGATGCTTCTATACTGTCTGCCAGACTGGAGTAGGACAGAGAGTTCTTGGGAAGGAGAGCAGGGGTCTTCTGTGATGGTAGGGGCTTTGCACGTCTAGTGTTTTTTGAAAGTGTCTTTGGTGCAGAGCAGAGAGGTCCTGGTGATTTACTCTGCTGTGTGTGCTATACACAGCTGTGTCAGGAAGTGGGGAGACCGTTGTCCATTCTTGACAATGATAGTGTTGACAGTCCAGGTGAACACTTTTGCCAGGTGTACCACAAGAGATTTGGTGCTCCTGACTATCTCCACTGCAGATCCCTCGATGGTCAACGGGGAGTGGACAACCTAGATATCTCCTAGATCATCTCTTTTGTTTGTTCAACGTTGAGAGACAGATTGCTGCTGCTGCTCCAGTCCGTAAGCTTTTCCACCTCTAGTCGGTATGCACACTCACGATCGTTGATGATTAGACCCACTGTTGTTGTGTCATCAGTAAACTTGATGATGTGATTTGTAATGTGCTGGGCAGTATAGTGATGTGCCAGCAGGGGGAGTATAAGTGGGGTTAGCATACAGCCTTGGGGGCCATCTGTGCCCAGCATGGTGGTGCTGGAGATGTTACCCAAGTGGACTGTCTCTGGTCATTCAGCCAGGAAGTCCAGGATCTACTTACACAGAGGGGTGTTGAAACGCAACAGCCTGAGCTTCTGTGTCAGCTTCTGAAGGATGATAGTATTGAATGCTGAACTGAAGACAACTTGCAGCATTCTTACACAGGAGTCCTCATAGGAGTTCAGGTGGGAAAGGGCCAGGCATACAGCTGAGGATATGACATCATCAACAGGATGGTTGGGATGTCAGGTGAACTGGAGTGCGTTGTGTGAGGATGGAGTGTAGCGTTCATGTTCTCCATGACTAGCCTTTTGAAGCGCTTCCTGATGACCAAATTACCAGCCATGATGACAGAATTACCAGCTATACTATATAGTTACACCAGGTACAGATGTAAACACAGAGACCAACTGCAAGATTCAGTACCTCAAGTGTCTTGGGGCCTCAGAGGACAAGGTGGACTTGCTGTATCAAGATTCAATGCCTCAAATAATAAGGGCAAGAAGCTTGAATGGAGTCTCACATCATACAAAAACAACGCTGAGGCTGAATCCATTCAATATTTCAGACATTGTTTCAGAGAGGCCATGATCAATGGTCAGTGTCTTGAACCAACTCTGAGTTAATTCAAGACGTGAGATGCCTCTCTAGAAAAAGCTTTAACTCCACCAAGGAAATGGCCAAGTCTCGTGGCTATGTAGGACAAGTGTCTTATGGCATATAGATACAAATCCAAGATGCTTTGACTGAAAACTTGTATTGTCCTACAATAAAATGGAAAACCTGAAGGGCTCCAAAACAGAAGAGGGTTTGCCGGGTTTGGAGAGCAACAGTGCTGTAAAACTGATGAGACTCTCATTTACTTTTTAGACGGTGTACATCATTATTTACTATGTGCTAATTTCCGCTAGCATGTCTGTGAGAATCGTTGCGTCATGTTAGTATTAAATGCTAATGCCTTAAATACATAAATTTGCATTACGAATCCATTACATTCTGATGTCTTATAGCATTTTTATATGTAGGAAGTTGCAAATTTAAGTTCTGCGTTACTGGGAATGCATCAATACATTGTGATGTGTGATACTACTAATAATGAATGATATATCGAACATGCCCTCTTTTCCTTCAGATATTCTATGCATATCGACGTGAACACAAGTATCATTTCGACCTATCAGATAGTTGTGACAAAATCAGCTCGATCTAGTCATGCTTCTGGCCCTGCAAGTAAACAGTGCCATGTTAGCGAGGGTACAGTGCGGGTACAGTGTGGGTACAGCACAGGTAGGGCTCGGGTACGGCTTGGGTACGGCTCGGTTCTTGATAGCAGTGGAATAGCACCAGAAGAGTTGCCCCAAACTTCACTGCAGAGAGCTCTGATGAGAGTCAAAACTAGAGATCATTTAAACATGAACTTGAACCATGGGGATGTAGTTTCTCCTTACATCAATATGGCAGAATTACCAGCTAAACCATGTAGTTACACCAGGTACAGATGTAAACATAGACATATATTTTCACTTACAATAATACAATGACAGTATTAGAATAATCCATCCATCACATAACCACTTATCCTGGTGGGGGGGTTGGAACCTACGCCAGCTGTAGGCCTGAAGTACACCATGGACAGGATGGACAACAACTGCTTTAAGAACATTTTCTCCCCCTCTGTGATCCAGCAACTTCCGACAGAGTGACGATACCCCACATTCATAAATAAATTGGTCAGAACAATACTTTCCAGATTTATTTTATTAATTTAATATTTCAGATATTTTATTTAGCCATATTTTTGCTTTAATGGTTTATGGGTTGCTTTAATGGTTTACCTTTGCTTTATTTTGTGCTGTCAAATTTTATTATATGGTATTATATATATCACCAATTTTTTTAGGGCAAGCAAAAAACACTATGATAGTATCTTGACTGTTGACAGGATGTCAGGCTATAGTAGGGAACTTAGGCACAGTCTTTTTCCATGGGTAGTAACATATGTTGTTCTAAAACTGCTGCTTGTATATTGGTTTCATAAGTTAATCATAAGAACCATGTCACACACTTTCTGCTACACATTAACCCCAAACGACAGCCGAACGCCGGTTAAGTCACTTTGGTCTGTGCAACATGGCCCGTTTTATTTATTATTATGTATTTAAGTTAGTTCACGCCCCACTAACTAATTGTCAAGTTCTCATTGGCATTCATGAAAGAGAATTGGCAACTGATTCGTCGAATTCTCCCCCAGTAACTCAGAACGCGGTTCCGATTGGTCTACCGTGTTGTCACTCATGTCACATGCCCCTGAAGGCAAAGGCATCCGTTTTTATTTCCTGCCAGCTGAAGGGAGGAATTTCGACCTCTCTAGGCAAAGTAAACACTAGCGACACACGTTAGTCGCAGTATTTATATAAATATACGTAAGGCACTAGTGTGTCAAAGATGGGAACTCGGGACGATGAATACGATTATTTATTCAAAGGTAAGAGATGCGCTGTCAGTATGGGCCGGGGGAGATACTATGTTCAGGGACCGTTAGCGCTGCGGCTAACGCTAACTAGCGCAGTGGCCGCCCGGAGCACGCGGGAAAATGTTGCTTTATTCACGTAATTTCATGTTACTACGGGTACCAGCGTTTATTACAACCTGTACGTGGAGAGGTGTTTGCCTGCGGTCCAGGGGCACTGTGTGTGTGGTGTTGGCGGTTAAGTGTAATAAATGTGCGGTTCGACGAACTCGGCGGCTAAGCTAACCGCGGTCCACCGCGGGATGGAACTGGTCGGCTGTTTGGGGATAAGTCTGAGTCCGCAGTAACTAGTGGTCGTAATCGATTTTTGGTGTAGCTTAGATGTGTGTATAGAAAAAAGGAAGTTGCTACCATTTAACACCCCCCACCCCCTAGTCATTTCACTACATAGAAGGGAGGGTGGCCGTGCGGTCTGCGCAGCTGCCTGACATGTACATACATTACTGCAAGGTCTCCTCCTCCTCATGAAGGGGCCAGAGGTGGGGGATCAGTGCTTAACCCCTGTAAGATCAGCAGTGTGTGGGTGTGGGCCCGCAGATCTGCTCCAGGGTGTGTCCTTACTGCCTCCTGCTCTTTGAATCGGTCAAGACGTACTCGGTTGGGGGGGGCATGACTCCCTGTCCCAGAGTCCTGCTTTCACTGCCCTTGAGATTGTCAATGAGTAGATATACTTAAACACTTGATTCTTATCTATTAAACTCATGGAAAGTTTAAAAAGGTACACATTTTTATTTAACTTCCTAATTAACCTGCTTGGTTTGCTATATGGTGGGTTTAAGGTGTACAAGTAAAGAGAGATTTCAGCCTTTAAATGTCAAATAAAAGTGATACATTGGCTATATTGTTTTTACATGGAATCGTACGTAAAAACAAGTTTTCTTGGGTCTTGTTTTTCTTTGTGAACCCCTGAGTATGTGAGCAGCACAACCCATTCATCCCTGTCAGTTACTCCTGCAGTGGTTTGTTTTTCATGTTTGAGTCTCAAATATATGAGCCGTGATTATCCACAGGCTCAGGACTTTCTGGGTCACCAAATCGCTGGGGAAAATCGGAGTCATCTAATTGCCCTTGGTAATGAGAGTACGGTTTATCAATAAGCCACATGATGATGTCTGTAGTTTGGATGTGTGTATCCTAATGGTGATCCTGTGCAGGAAATGAACAAGGTAAGGCAGGGTAAGCACACCAGTCACACACAGCAGGCAATTTAAAGTCACCAATTAACCTGAATTACTCGTCTTTGGACTGTGGGTGGAAACTGGATTGCCCAGATGAGATCGATGCAAGCAGGAGGAGAACATTCAAACTTATGTTCTCTGCGGAGATGCAACCGCTGCGCTGTGTGGTTGAGGGCATTAGAGGTAATCTCTCACAGCCCATCTCAAAGGTCACCTTTTATATGACATCAGTGTTCCTGCTCAGTTTAGCTGTTTGCATGGATTCCAGGCGATTTAACAGACGTCTGTTTGCAATAACCGCTCGTTCAATCAGATCTGCTAAGATTTTCAGCTTCCCTGAAGATCAGAGGCAGTGCAAACCCAAACAAACAGCACACTTTGGAAACAAACAAAAACACATTCTGCATTGTTTTCAGAGAATCTGTTTAAGCTAGCTTGTGTTCCAAGTTGTATGTAATAGGTTTTTAGAAAGAAAGGGATGAATTATGCATGCATAATCCACTGACAGTGGTACAGACCTGCTCAGCTGTTCTATAACTTTATCGACCTAAATGCAGTTAAATAAGACCTTGACGATGAAGGCTTTTGTACATGTGAGGCTGTGGGCTGCTTCTTCACTTTCCTTAAGATGAAGGCAGACATCCGACAGCAAAGTGCATCAGAGTTGAACACGAGCTGTCACATTAGACTTTTTGCAAATCAGCTCCCGCTTGGCATTTTAGCTGAAGCTACGTTCAAAATTTTATGGTCGATTCAGAAAATCTTATTTTGTGGCGCAGTATGAGATCTTTAAAAAGTCGTGGTGAAGTCATTTTAAGGTCATTTAGCTATGGTGACACAGCCCTCTAAATCATGTTAGAAGAACTAGAGATTGAAGTAGTGCAAGGAATTGCTATTAAGTTGGATTGGAGAAGGAAATTTTAGCTCCTTGTCTGCTGCAAATCCATGGTTATAGTCACTGGCTTGTGCTTCTATTTCATGAGAAGGGTCACCTTCTGGAGTTTTATCAGTCCAGCATAAAGGTGTAGTTCTTTAGTGTTACAGTAGCATGATATGCAAATACAATCTCATATCTCTGTGTCAAGATAAACATTTGGAAACAATATAAAACAGTAGCTGACTTTTTCCATCGCGTCTGATATTTCCTGAATGGGCTTTTCGTATGCTAGCTCTGACGTGATCGAGTTTTCTGTTGCCGGCAGTGGTTCTGATCGGGGACTCGGGTGTGGGGAAGAGCAACCTGTTGTCCCGTTTCACGCGGAACGAGTTCAACCTGGAAAGCAAGAGCACCATCGGGGTGGAGTTCGCCACACGCAGCATCCAGGTGGACGGCAAGACGATAAAAGCGCAGATCTGGGACACGGCCGGACAGGAGCGCTACAGAGCCATCACCTCAGCGTGAGTTTGGGATGGAGGCTCCTCAGATGGGGGAAGTCGCGGTCCTGAGACACACGGCTTCCCCTCAGGCAGGCCTTGTGTACCAGTAAGGTGACACACCTGTGCTGTCTGGTTACTGAAAGGGACAGATGTCCTTCCCCGTGTGACTCTTCCCACGTCCGTGTCAGGTACTACCGCGGCGCAGTGGGGGCACTGTTGGTGTACGACATCGCCAAGCACTTGACATACGAGAACGTGGAGCGCTGGCTGAAGGAGCTTCGCGACCACGCAGACAACAACATCGTCATCATGCTGGTGGGCAACAAGAGTGACCTGCGCCACCTACGGGCCGTGCCCACGGATGAGGCGCGGGCCTTCGCAGGTACTGAGCCCCGCAGGTTCACAGTTTGAGGTCAGAGGCACGTTATCCATTCCTGGCTCTCAAGCCTTTCTGCTGCCCAACACCAAGCTCTCTGGGCCTTGTTTCCGGTACTGATCACAGTTATCTCAGGCTGAACCCTTTGTTGAGTCAGACTAAATAATCTCTCTCTCTCTCTCTCTCTCTCTCTCCCTCCCTCCCTCCCTCGCCCTCCCCCACCTGCAGAGAAGAATAATCTCTCATTCATCGAAACATCCGCCCTGGACTCGACCAATGTAGAGGAGGCGTTTAAAAACATCCTCACAGGTATGGAGCCTGAGCTGAAGGTCACTGCATGCTTGCCTTGAGTGTTGGTGCCACACTGTGGGCATACGTGCGTTACGGCCACCTCTGTGTGTCAGTAGTAATCAGGCCCCTGCTTCCTCCTGCAGAGATTTACCGCATCGTCTCACAGAAGCAGATCGCCGACCGCATGGCCCACGATGAGTCTCCCGGGAACAATGTGGTGGACATCAGCGTGCCACCCACCAGTGATGGACAGAGAGGCAACAAACTGCAGTGCTGCCAGAACCTGTGACCTCTGACCCTGTCAGGACACCCTAAAACCCCAAATTCACCTCCCGTTGCCCCCTCCTGATTTCTATATATACCCTCAATTGTCTCTCAAGTTTTGTGTGAACAGAAAGGCCCCAACTTTTGTGTGTCCCTGTTTGCCCCCCTGTGCAAGTTCTTTATACGTAACATTCCTCAACCATTTTTTTTTTTTGTCTTTTTTTTATTTTTATTATTATTTTACCATAATGTTCCAACCACTATAACAATGTATGTGAGTAATGGGAAGATTTGCACTGATCACGTGACCTACTTCTCTGTGGGGATTGGTCGGGGGATCTGTCAGTCTGGAGGCACTGGCCACTCAGTAACATTACCTGGCTTCCCTAGCAAGAGCACACCTTAAGGTGAGCGAGATGTACTCAGACAGTGTCTGAGTAGCTTTAGTACGTTACGGTTAATCTCACAGGTAACATTTGTCACAGATGGACCTTTCATCAGCCCCGTTAAAAGGCATCAGCCCCGTATGGGTAGCTTGCTTTAATTCCTTTGTGGACCTCTACTTTGCAGTTACACATATAAAGCTTAAAGATAGCCTTGGTAATGTTACTGAGGGGCCGGGTTAGTCACACTAGTTAAGATTGACCTTATGTTATCCCCAAATTAGTAGAAATGCCTTCTTGCATGCCTGCAGAATATGTACACTCATCTGTTGTGCATCCAGTTGGTTTGATTGATGTGGACGTGACCTGCAGCCTGGAAGCGACACCGGGGAGGCCGGCCTGGGGCCTTCCACTTCTGGTGCCGAGGCTCCTTTGGGGCACGACAGTGGGCTTGGAGAAGAAACTTCCGGAAGGATTTGACCTAGCATAAAACTGTTGTGTTTTCAGTAGAAGTCTTTTATGATAAACCCACTGCCTGTTCTGCCTGTAGCTCGTAAAACTTAACCCCAAGTAAAAGTAGGTTCTGTTGGATGAAATTGTGGTGTGGCTTTGAGCCAAGATAAATCTCTTCTGCTTGTAACCTTTAAGGTATGTCCTCTGCATGTGGAGAAACTGTTCAGTCACAACCTTAAGGCTTGGTGCTGTGTGCTGTTCAAATGCTTGACTGAGAGCAGAGATACAGTATCGCATGAATGGAGCGTCACTTTCTATGCCTGGTTCTGTAAATTCAGATGTCCCTTGTCCCACATGGACAAACTGCACATTTATATACTAAGAAGGATGCATCTCCAGCGTATGTCATGTCTGTAACTTGGGAGATCCGATCTGTAGTAAATGCCTATGCACCTCGGACAGGTGATACGTTATTTGAGACTTAAAGGACATTAGGGAACTGACCCGCCGACAGTGAAAGTACGCAAACCTTTCACCATGCGGCGTTACATATCTTGGCAGAAGGTGCTGATCGATGCCTTTGAAAGTGCTGTATCCCATTGGCATGCGCCTTAACGACCTGTCATGATCCGCGCTGCTTCAGGCTGCACTTCCGGTCTGGTTCTGACTATTAAATATTCACGAGATGGGTGAAGCTGGTTGTCACGTCAGCTCGCCAGACTGTGAAGGCAGGATCAGTATCTAACTCTCCAGCTCTAGAGCGACCAACTCTAGGATTTGCCCCAATTACCTATGAATCCTTCGTGACTGAAAAAGGTTAAAAGTTACCCCTAAAAATATGACAATTTTACCATTAAAAATAAAGACGTTCATACGGGTGTTGTTGCGCATGGATAGGAACTTAGGGAATTTGGTCGTTTATTAGCTATGTGCCTATAATCTGTATGACTGGTATAGTATAAAATTTTTGCGAAGAGCTATTTCTCGTCATATTAATATTTTAATGCTGTATGATAATCGCCAAGCATAGAAAGCTTTCAAAAGGACAGTGCTTTTATAACATTTCCAGGATGCTTTAATGAAACGGAATATAGCACGATAAGTTCGGTTTTAGATGTCTGGCGGTGTCATGTCATTTACTTCTGCGTGCGTGTTAAAGCAATTCAACAGAAGCAATACTTTCCATGCTATTATACTGTACATAAAGTTCACTGGAAACGGTTCTGAAGCAGTTGTATGTTGTCTAGGCGCTGAGCTTTTGGCAGATTGACTCGTCAAGTGACTGGGTGTGTAGGACGCTCACCAAGCATTTTATTATTGGCTAAGAGCCGCTTTAGCTATTGCATAAATACAAAGCCTATAAATACAAATTACGCGTAGGGATTAGGAATGTGCGAATCGATACTGAAAGTATCGATTATTTCGGTCTTAATGCTTCATGATGAGAATGAATTCTAATGTTAAAAAATGGATTTTGTACCTGGTTATTTAAATGTATATAATATTAAGGAGCAGGGCACCACATTCTCAGAAAAAAAAGGTTAAAAAAATTGGACCTTTGTCACTGAGGCTGCACCCTCGTCCCCAAAGTACAAACAACAATAATGTACCAACAGTAATGGTACAAAAATGTTACTCAGAGTCCATTTCTGTACCTTAAAAGTTACAATTGACAGACCCTTGAGGGTACAGCTGCAGTAAGGTATATTTTTTTACCATTTTTTTCTGAGAATGTGGTGCCAGGCGAAGGTCTGGACACCCCCGTCGGCAAATTTTATCGTAAGAGAAATTGCGGAGTATTTTCAAACATTTCATTTTAATGCATCAAATTCAACTTCGTTGCGACATGGACGAATATTACACTTTATGTTTTGTGTATTTTTTTAATCTAATAAATATTCTTTTCAGTATAGACTTTGTTCCAACGGCATGATATTATCTTTCCATAAGTCAGTAACCTCTTAATTTTTAATCGAGCCTTTAATTTTAAAGCTATTAATTTTATCGAAATTATATAGACTGGTCATTCACATCGCAAGTTGAATATTTCTTCATTTCTGTGCTTTCTGTTGTTCATTATGTAAATAGGCCTATATATGCGTATCATTTAATTTGTACGTAGTTGATAAGTGCGGCTGAAAAATACAGTATCACATTGACGTGGTTCTACACGGTGTACTTGTTTCAGAGTAAAGCACCAACTGCGGTATACGACTTATTTGGTTATCTGAAAATCTGCACACTGTTTGCAAAGCTAGCTGTGAATTTTATGTGTGAAATTGGTCAGGGCTCCGTCAAAAACAAAGTGGTATAATATGGGAAATAGAATTTCTAAACAACGACAGTGATTGAAACGATTGCTTATATTGTATCAGATAAACATTTGAAATATAAATATTATTATTATAACGTGACTAATATACACGTAGGGGCGGAACTGTTGACTGTGGGTTCGAATCCCACCTTGCTTTGTATGTCTGTATGATCCCCTAGCGTCTCTTGGGTTTCCTCCTGCACTCCAAAGAAATGAAACTGCCTGCAATTCGTGAGCGTGCGAGTCAGGCATTCTTCTGCTTTGTGCCGTGTTACCAGGGATAGGCTCAAACCCTCGTCCGGAATAAATGATTGGGAGATGGATGAGTGATATACATGTATTAACAACGACGTTGCAAAAAGTTTTAAGCGTCGAGGAATATTACAAGTCTAAAAACATTGATGATAATAAATGCATTTCCCTCTCGTACAGCTGTAATGTCTTTCATTCAATAGGCTTTACAGCAAAACAGCTGGAGACGTGCGATTTTGAGCTACGCAGACTATGCGATTCTCCAGCGCATCCTCGAAATCTAGCAGACGAGAAGCAAACGAGTTTACGCTGGTAGCGTAGAACGACGCGGCGGGAGGAGCTGGTCGTCTAGCACTTAGCCAGCTAGCTAACCGCTGATCACAGCGCATTAAAACACATTTATACGTCTGCACTGAGTGTATCTCATTGTCACTCGTAAAACTAAATAAGAGAGATGTAGCTATCCGGTAAGTATATATATACACATATATAATTACGATTCTGTCAGCTCCGATAGACAGTAGCTGTATATGCAGTTAGCTTGCTAGCGATTACGACTATGGTTACTGCTATAATGGGTAATCTGTAATGGCAGCCTTTGGTCATATTAATGTAGTGAGAATATTCCTTTACCGTTACTTGTGGATCGCCGTTACCTTCAAACTGTGCTCGGATATTAGCGGTGACGGCTTACGGACTTGCGCCAGCAAAGCTAGTCGGCTAACGCCCCGGCCGGCTGCACGGGTAGCTTGTATAAGCAGCCGTGGTCGCTTCACCCTAGGACGGCATAAGCCCCGGTTCGAAGAGGCCCGTGGTAGCCGGTGGGCTCTGGGCGGCGGGGCCAGCAGCGAGCCGCCACTGTCAACCGCCGGGCGAAGTTGAGCTCAACGGCTAATTGTTAGTGCTTCTAACTTGTTAGGACAATTATTAATGTGCATCTAAACTGAAACAGACAGAGATCGAGTCGAAAACGGGGCTTTGGACCGACATCAAGGCCTTATTAAATACATTAATTTGTAGTCTTTTTATCCTGTTTAATATTACCGCTCAGTCTGTCTGATAAGCAGACAAGTTAGAGGCTTGCTCTTGTATTGCCATTTACTTTATTTAGGAGCTGACATGACGTGCTATTGATCTGTCACTGGGCATGAGGTCTTTTGGAGCACATTTCCCATCACTGGACAGTGTCATCACTTTAGTGCCGTCCCTGTCACCTATGGGGTGGTGCCAAACACGCAAACCTAGTCAGCTGTCAAAACGAATTGTCTCAAGACCAACGGAGGCTGACTGGGTGAGCTTTAAACGTGTAGTGCCGTCCTCTAACCCACTTTATCTTCCGAAGGCCTAGAGATACTCCACTTAAGACCCAGTCCCCAGGGGGAGCGCTCCCCCGCCCCCCCCACCCCCGCCGGCAATACGGCCATGACAACGGGAGAGTGCTGTCACCTGCCGGGGTCTCTGTGCGACTGCATGGCTGGTGGGGACGTGTCAAAGGGCGTGGGGGAGGCCGACGTGCAGCACGCCCAGTACGTCACTCAGGTCACCGCCAAAGACGGGCGACTGCTCTCCACAGTCATCCGGGCTCTGGGCATGCAGAGGTATCCTCCTCGCCGTACGGCTGGCTTGTCGTGAAAATTGGTTCTGTGTCACTACTCTTACTTGGTTAACGGTTAAGATTCCAAAATGCCTCCCCCTATCTGTTGATGTTACCTCCAGCCAACTGGATTAATGGTTATGGTTCCGAAAAGGCCATCGCCCTGCCTGCTTTTAGTGTTAATCAATCCCTGCCTGTTGGCTTTGCTGTCTCAAATATTCAAATTCTCAAGCTGTTTCTCTTGCAACCCTGGGATGCAGCGACGGGCCCATATGCCGCATCTGCCATGAGGGGGGGATCGGCGAGGGCCTCCTGTCCCCCTGCGAGTGCACAGGCACGCTGGGGGCTGTCCACCGGAGCTGCCTGGAGAAGTGGTTGTCCTCCTCGAACACCAGCTACTGTGAGCTCTGTCACACAGAGTTCAGCGTGGAGCGCCGGCCACGCCCCCTGACAGAGGTAACCACGGTTACTGCCTCGGCCTTGCTCATTGGCCTTTTCCTTCTTTAACGGCTGCCTCCCCGCTGCCCCATCAGTGGCTGCAAGACCCCGGGCCGCGTAACGAGAAGCGGACGCTCCTGTGCGACATGGTCTGCTTCCTGTTCATCACTCCGCTGGCAGCCATTTCTGGCTGGCTGTGCCTCCGTGGGGCCCAGGACCACCTCCACTTCAACAGCCGCCTTGAAGCTGTGGGCCTCATTGCTCTCACCATCGCTCTCTTTACCATCTATGTCCTGTGGACCCTGGTGAGGACTTTGCTCTTGGCAGTCGTGGTTTTTCTGTGACTCTCAGCCTTGCAAATCTAGCTCTCCCTGTAACTAAAGCAAGACAAACTCATGAATCCTCAACATTGAGCTCGCCGGTGCCCCCTACAGGTCTTTTTGGTCCTTCCAGGCCTCGACACATTACTTTATGCTTTGTGTCACCCTCTTCTGCAGGTATCCTTCCGCTACCACTGTCAGCTGTATTCCGAGTGGAGGCGAACCAATCAGAAAGTGCGCTTGCTGATTCCCGATGTCAAGACTGCCTGTTCTGCCCAGCATTCCTTGCTTTCCACCAAGCTGATGAAGATGACAGCGGATGAGACCGTTGTATGAGACAGCTCAGGCTGCCATGCATGGCTTAAACCTCTCCCTTTCTGTTTTCTTTTAAGATTTATTTAATATATTACAGCACTTACTTTCCCCTTCCCCATCATTATGGCCTTTTTGGGGCTCCTGAACATGGAGAGCAAGGTGACATGATACTGAGTGACAACTGTCCCCTGGTTTTTATAGCCAGAGGTGGGGCTCGATCCAGTGTTGACAAGGTGCTTTATCCCTGCGGGACTGGCGCCATGTTCATCCCTGTCTCTCCCGAGGAGCCGATTGCTGGAGATACCTGTAACCTCAGCAGAACACTTTGGATTTCAGAACAGGCCCATTCGTAGGGCAGCAAATGTCGATGTCACTTTAGTTATGCAAAATTTTATTCATGTTTTTTTTTTTAAGTGGTTCTAAGAAACCTTATGGGATTGTGCTGTGTGTGAGCCGAGGGTAAACTTCTGCTTTTTAACCCCCCCCCCAATCCAGGCTGTGAGGAAACACCTGTCATGACACAGACACTGACCCCCCCCCCCCCTTGCCCCAGGCATCTCCCCCGCAGATCACATGCTCATCCTCAGCCTCCTGCTATTGTCAGTGTCCTGCCCTGAAGTTCACGAACACCCCCAGCTCACGCTTCCCCATTCCCTCGTCCTCATTGCTTGTCCAACTACCTTGTGTTGCACTGTTCTGCTGCCTAGTTGTGTACATTTTCCCAGGACAGGAAGCGCTCTGCTACGCCAAGTCTTACTTCGGGACGTATCCTCGCCCCGCTGCCTTCCTCAGTATTAAACAGCATCCTGCAAGTTGCCGGTCAGTGTGCATGGACACATTGTCTTGCTAGCTTACTGTAAGATTCCTCTACACTACATTTCCCAAAAGAGACTCTGAGTTTTTAATGAAATGTAAGAGTGGTATGAAATGTAGCGTGATTAGTAATTCTCGATGTCACTGTACAGAATGAACAACCTGTAAGAAACACTACAGTTCTTTTTCCTCTGGCATCCTCCAGAATAATCCACTTCTCTGACCCCTGACCTTCTCTTCAGTAATTCACTGCCTCTGGTGCACAGTTTACCTTGGGTCCTATCCGCAGTGTAAGAACCACTCAGCTTTACCTTGTGCAATTTGTGCGAATATAACCATGCAAAGCCTTCACATGTTTACACACATTTGTGTCTGGGACATTGTCGAAAGGGATTTTTGGAGATTGTTTCAGCAAAAGGCTTTGGCTTCAGGCCCTGGAATTTCCTTTGAAGGAGTCGATCTTGATCCACCAGGTTCCGAGTGATGATCGCTAAAATAACTGGAATCCACTTCGGAGTCCCATTTTTTTAAAAAAAGATTTTTAAATAGACTTTTTCAGAACTGAATACGTGTATGTATGTATGTATGTATGTATGTCAAACAATGGACATTTGATAATCGATGTTTGATGTTTTCTTATTTTCTGAATTTCCCTTTTTAATAGTTGGGTTTGCATCTCCACTGAATGGTATTTGCTATTTAGTGGTATTAATTCATGATGGACAAAATGATGCCTCATGAACCATTTGCTGTATTTTTTGATCCCACTAGATGGCGTTCTTGGTATGCTTTAGGGCATGCTCTGTGCCCTTTTTTGAACAGAGAGCTCAATACAGCAAATTATTTATGAAGCATCATTTTGTCCATCCTTAGTATTAATACACTACATCTGAGGATGGAGGCATGTTAGATGACCCTTAATTCTCCTGGGGGGTGTTATGTTGTGTGACTGTGTTTAAGACGTGATGTGGGTGTGTGTGGGTGTGGGTGTGTTGGTTCATGCTCCCCATTCACTTCACCTAATGAGCTGGAATCCCCCGATGTAGCATTTCGCTGTGTTTCCTCTGGACTGCTGCACTACCGTAACTCTCCATAGATGTTTTATGAACTACGGCCTTCATGTGAAAGGCCTACAGAACCGTTCCTAACTACAGTGACAGGTCAAATTCGCCTCCTTATGGACAAAATGCACTTACATTAACCTAATTATTAGTGTTGCGCTCTTTAAAATAGCTGTGTGACCAGTTTGTTTTCAGATGTTGGCTCTCATGAGTGTGAAATATTTGTGAATATTGTTGAGGGTGGAGGTATTCAGGTTTTAACATATATGTTGTTTAAATAGTATTGTTAGTGTATGGAAACGCCGCCCCTTTGCACAGCATGGGCGTGTGGCCCCTGCCTCGTTATCAGCTGTCATGAGCTGCCCGGCCGAAGCCAACAACATTCTGCAGACCCCCTAAAACAGTGTTTTCCAATCCGGTCCTCAGAGACCCGCAGCAGTCCACGTTTTTGTTCTCTCCCAGCCCTCAACAAATATGTGCACTGTCTGGCAAGGAGCTGAGAGGGAGTAAAAACTTGGACTGTCTGTGGGTCCCCAAGGAATGGGTTGGGAATTACTGTCCTAAAACATTTGGCCAGCCTGAGCGTTAATTCTTTGTCTCACGTCACATGGTTTGTGGTGGTACTTTATATAAAGTTTGTGGTGGTTTATTATTGTTTTTTAATTTTTACATTCGTATCTTACCTATGTCACTTTTACCTGTATGGTGGGGGCTGGGGGGGGGCAGAGATTGTAACCGACATCTTGATTTGTGACAGATTTGCTGACCGCTTCAAAAATGAGTTTGCCCACAAACAAAACAGTGTGCTCATCGCTTTTGTATTTTGTGTGTGATGTGTCCCAGGGGTCGTTCAGGACCGTTGAACATAAGAACATAAGAAAATTACAAACGAGAGGGGGCCATTCGGCCCATCAAGCTTGTTTGGGGGGAACTTAACTAATAGCTCAGAGATGTTACAATCTTATCTAGCTCTGATTTAAAGGAACCCAGGGTTTTAGCTTTTGCTACACTAGCAGGAAGACTATTCCATACTCGAACTACACGCTGTGTAAAGAAGTGCTTCCTCAAATTTGTTTTAAAATGTTCTCCCGCTAATTTCCACTTACAGCCACGAGTTCTAGTATTTAAACTAATATTGAAATAGCCATTTGACTGAACAGCATCCAGACCCGTTAGAATCTTATAGACCTGGATCATGTCCCCCCTTAGTCTCCTTTGCTCAAGGCTAAACAGATTCAGCTCAGCTAACCTCTCCTCATAACACATTCCTCTAAGACCAGGAATCATTCTCGTAGCCCTCCGTTGCACCTTTTCTAAGGCAGCAATATCCTTCTTAAGATATGGTGACCAAACCTGCACACAATATTCTAAGTGGGGTCTTACCAAGGAATTATATAAATGTAACATCACCACCCATTGAGTTGGGGCTGTTATGAAATGCTAACGTGGTACAATATGATAATGATTCATTAAAATGAGTCACATCCCCTTATAGGTGTGTGGGGTCCTGCTCTGAGTCACATCCCCTTATAGGTGTGTGGGGTCCAGCTCTGAGTCACATCCCCTTATAGGTGTGTGGGGTCCAGCTCCTGCTGTGTCCAAGCCTTGTTTTTCTCTTTGGCTGATGTTCTGCATTTGGGGTTTGTGGGACAAATCAGAACAATTTAAAATTTGCTTAAAACACCAAAGAATGCGTAACCTTCAATGGACGGTACTGAATTCATTTAGAGGAAACGGCTTTGTTAAAAAGGATTCATTACTGATCTTCACTATTCTGAAAATATCTTACATTAATGAATTGGAGTCTCTAGTTTGATCACTGGTTTAGTTTCACTGATATTTCCCATGGAGTACAGTGATTTGGGTGTGACAACAAGCAGTGTCTAACGTCTTATTTACAGTGAGAGATACTGAAATAGAACTTAGTCAAAGCATGTACAGGTGTGTTGTCTTTGGCGTTGAGAGAGAGCACCACCTAGTGGATCCATTTCCTCATACACCCTCCGTGGCACATGAATGCATTTTAAACCTACTATCCAAATGTTCATAGGGTGGAATGCTGGGGGTCTTCGTCCATTATTAAATGACGCAAAAATACGACTTCATGGGACAATCAGGAATGAACCAAGATGCCACAATGGACATAAGTGGTTAAGGGTTTACTGGTAATGCCGATCCTCGAGCAGTAAACATTTCAGAGGAAATGCGAATGTCTTATTCCGAGCATTTCAGCAGAAAATCAGTTGGGCAGGAAATTCAGATATTTTGAGTGCCTGGTTGTTTTTGTAGAGATATCTACAGAATGGGGGTCATGGGGGTGGTTGAGCTGAGAAGTTTCTGGCAGTGGAACCCTGACAGTGTCAGATTAGACAGGACCAGGTTGTCTGGTCTATGGCTGCAGGAAGCTAAAAGTGCGCAGAGTGAAAAATCTTGTCCTGTTTCCATTTCCATAGCATTTCCACAAGTAGAAGTGGATGCACAGGATAACCCTTACTTATGCACATTTTAACAGGAAATCTGTTTTGGGAAAACTACTTTGTTTAGCTTTTAATGTCTCAACGACTATCTGTTGTGTTCATATCTGTTGCCAAGCTTTTTTTTTGGATTGAAGGAGTTAATCTGTCACATGCAAGGCATACAGTCAGATTATAACCTGCAGTGAAATGCAAGGTGGTCAACTCTGTCATAATAAATGGTGATAGCAAAATAAAAACATTTAAAGTAACAATATAATGAATATGTCATAAGAAAAGTTATACTCTTAAAAAAGAAAAACACCAGAGATGTGCACCACAGATGAAATAAAGTGTGAAGTGCAAAATTGAGGAGAGAATATGAATTAGAAGTGTCAACTAAGTGTTAAGTAGTCAGTTCTCACTGAGACAACAGAAGCGCTTTCCAGACCTCAGCCTGGTAAAGAGGCAGTTGTTGTGTCGCTGCAGATTTTGACAGCTTTGCTCATGCATAGCGTAAGGTAAATGTCCTGCAGGGAGAGCAGATGACCCTTACAGATGTGTTCTGCCCTCTGCAGCGCTTTACAGTCCAGAGCAAAGCAGTTACCAAACCAGGCTGTGATTCCTGTGGTAAGGATGTTCCCTGACGCTAGATGTGCAGCCCAGCACCAGCTGCAATAAGTGTGTGTTATGTGATTTGTGCCCTGTGTTTTCCGGTATAGGGTCCAGGTTCACTGTGACCGTGTAAGCTACTGGGTACAGTGACTGTGGATGTATTGATAGAAGCTAGTTGCTGTGACGCGCGCCCCCTAGGGTTTAATTCATTTCTAAGCTGCAGCTTCAACAGTTCTGGAGTCTTGGTACTTGTTCCATTTACTCTTTACATCTGCATTACATTTCTCATAGAAATCTCTATTTTTTTACAACCACAAAAAGAAAAATTCGCCACAACTAAACTGATTAAACGTTTTCATAGATCCCACTGATATATGAAAATTGCAGTTGAGCATTTCGGTCCCGACGGTGCTGCTAACGTTATGCCCGTAAAAAAAAACTGTTCCGGGATCTGTTGTATTAGTCGCCTCCAAGTGTGTAAGATAAGCATATACAGAAGCGCACCGATCCCAGGTCGGTCACTAAGGACGCTTGGTTACCGGCGCCGCCGAGTCGACCGAACACAAAGCCAATCCCAGAATGCACTTCGTGGGCGCTATTGAAAAGCCACTTTCTGCGCGGTGCAGCCGCCATTTTAGCAGTGGAGATCCAAGGGACCGTTTCCTTGGCTTACACTGGTGAAACGTGAAAAAACAAAGCGGGCTTTTCCGTTCGGCGATTACCGATTATAAACCCTCAAGAAATCCCGCGAAGGTGCCGCGTGCGTCACCCGCCGGTTGTGAAGGACTCGTCCATTTTATCGTTTCAGGAAGATAACTGCGTCAAGATGTCGGCTGAAGCAGCGGCTGAAAAACCGGGCCCTGCGAGGTGAGCTTTGCCGGTTGCAGGCCTTAAGGCCCCCCCTGATCTGCGGTGTGCAGAAGGGGACCCACAATCACGATCCATGCGTGCCCTAATATCGCATCCTCGCCCCCCGTTCTGTTTTTAGCTTGTTAGCTTGATTCTGATCGGTACTTTATGGTATTATAATTGATGAAGCGCGCAGCCAGTAACATCTTATTTACGTTATATATTCAATATATGTTTGCGCTCGTTTATGTCGTTTTCTTTGTGCTTTTAAAGTAAAGGCAGTGTGATGGGGGTGGGGGACGCCGCTTCGTGCCGTTACATTGGGTCTGGGCGTCTACCCGCAGTCCACGCGTCTGAAATCCTGTCTCCTCACAGTGGGATGAACGGGAAGGCGGTTAACGAGACACGGAAGGAGCGGCCCCAGAAGCGGGGCGGCGGCCGCTTCGAACCCTATGGGAACCCATCCAAGAGATACCGGGTGTTCGTCAGCAACATCCCCTTCGACGTGAAGTGGCAGGCGCTCAAAGACCTCATGAAGGAGAAAGGTAATGTGACCTGGACGATCGGTTGCAAGTAGAGGCTCGTTTAGAGGAGCCCAGCAAGCCTCCGGTTTGCCAGGAGGCGGATACAGACCCCGTGGAGAGGAGGGGTGGGGGGGAGAGGTTGAATGCTGTTCACGCTAGAGGAAAGGTTTTTGGGGTGCTCCTCTGAAGCAGAGCGAGCTTTTCAGGTCTTCCATTGTGATGATCCTCTTTGCCTTTAAGGCTTGTGAGAAGGGTGGTCTTCAGTGTGAATGATTCAGTTGCTTAAATTGGGCTGCATGTACCTTGCTGGTGGAAATCTCCATTCTTCTCAAAGTCGAAATTTTGGATGTGAGGTTGCAACGCTAACCCACTGCTGGATGCGGTGTTTCGATTTGTCTCCTTCAGATCCATGCGGAGGAGGAATCTCATAGGCGCCATCCGGTGCTCGATTCCGTTACGTTTCCGTGCCGACTTGGATGAGTCGGGAATGGGCTTAACTTGCAGTTTTGCGTTCGGTTCCTCGGCGCTCTGGTCATGTAGTATCACCTCCTCCAGCAGATGCTGTTCGATTCTGAGTCACCTTGGCTGTTTATTTGCAGTATTGATTTTGAACAGAATCTCAAACGTAAAGAATGCTGGTTGAATCAGTCTCATTTGGCTCTCAGTAATAAGTTCTCATTAATGGATGCTCGTTAAGATCGAAGAAGGTTCCTGAGCTTAACGTGGGGACACTCGCAGTTGAAATCTAATGCTGTTCAGAATGGTGTAATGTGCTGAGTGTGGAGCGTGACAACCCTGCGTTGATTGTCATGATTCTTTGTAGGACTAAATTGCGTTCTCTCTTTTTAGGTTTGCCACAGCGAATGTGGTTACTGGCTGATGCCACCGCAGAGCTGTTCCTCAGTGACATTGGACATGTTAGGGCTGTTTGGGGTACAGGTCTACAAAGTTTAGCTGCTTCTTAAACTTGTCCTTGTTTCAACCTTTGGGTTGGTCCGAGTCCAGATCCCTTTACATTGCTGGATAATTTTCAGGGTTTTGGCTGTGGTTTGGCAATGATCTGTGTAGAGTCCTGCACTTGAAACAAACAAGCTGTTGGCTGGACTAATCGTTGTGCGTTTTGTCTTCCACTCGTCTGAGTGGACAGGTCAAAAGGTTAACTTCTCCGATGACCGTCCAAGTGGCCACGGTGTTTGAATTGCTTCCAGTTGGTACTTCCTCGCATGCTGGAGTAGCTTGGATATTTACAGAATGCAGGCTGGATGAGAACTCAACCTGGTTTTCTGCAGTAGTTTACCACTTGGCCGTGGTTCCTAGTCTTGTGGGCGGGAGTCTCACATTCAAATGGTGGTGGATGACGGACTCGTTTGGA